AGCACTTACGAACCTGGGGCCAGATTCACGAAGCAGCTACGCAAGCACTTACGAACCTGGGGCCAGATTCACGAAGAAGTTACGCAAGCACTTACGAACCTGGGGCCAGATTCACGAAGCAGTTACGCAAGCACTTACGAACCTGGGGCCAGATTCACGAAGCAGCTACGCAAGCACTTACGAACCTGGGGCCAGATTCACGAAGCAGTTACGCAAGCACTTACGAACCTGGGGCCAGATTCACGAAGCAGTTACGCCAGCACTTACGAACCTGGGGCCAGATTCACGAAGCAGTTACGCAAGCACCTACGAACCTGTCCATCATTCCTCAATCTTTGGCGGCTTTGTTTACAATTATTAAACAGTTAATGAGCTCCGAAGCACCAGGAGGCTGTTTATAACAATAACAACAGTTGATTGGCAAGTTTTCATGCTTGTAAACTGTTTAATAAATGTAACCAAAGCCGTCAAAGATTGAGGAAAGGTGTACACGTTCGTACTTGCGTAACTGCTTCGTGAATCTGGCCCCAGGTTCGTAAGTGCTTGCGTAACTGCTTCGTGAATCTGGCCCCAGGAGCACTGGGCATTACTCACAGATCACAGAGGACTCTCACGCACCAAAGATAATTAATTCACGAGGAAAAAGGTTAGGCTAGGACAGAGTATGTTTCATCCCTCTGTGAAGCATTACCTGCCTAGCCGGGATGGGAGAGGAGCACTCTATCCTCTGTATCATGTGAAAGCAGGAGTGAATATTCTGACTATACAGGGGCCTGCGGGCCGCTCCAAGCAACAGCCTGGTGGACCAAACTCTCTCTTGAACACTGTGAGGGGTCGGCCAGTTATGTCCCTTATGTGTAGTGGAAGCGTGTTGAACAGTCTCGGACCTCTGATGTTGATAGTTCTCTCTTGAACACTGTGAGGGGTCGGCCAGTTATGTCCCTTATGTGTAGTGGAAGCGTGTTGAACAGTCTCGGGCCTCTGATGTTGATAGTTCTCTCTTGAACACTGTGAGGGGTCGGCCAGTTATGCCCCTTATGTGTAGTGGAAGCGTGTTGAACAGTCTCGGACCTCTGATGTTGATAGTTCTCTCTTGAACACTGTGAGGGGTCGGCCAGTTATGTCCCTTATGTGTAGTGGAAGCGTGTTGAACAGTCTCGGGCCTCTGATGTTGATAGTTCTCTCTTGAACACTGTGAGGGGTCGGCCAGTTATGTCCCTTATGTGTAGTGGAAGCGTGTTGAACAGTCTCGGGCCTCTGATGTTGATAGTTCTCTCTCAGAGTACCTGTTGCACCTCTGCTCTTCAACGGGGGTATTCTGCACATCCTGCCATGCCTACTGATGAACCCATAACCGGGTTCTCTGCCAAAGAAACCTCTTTGTATAGCTAATAATTGCTTTGACAAATGAACACGGATATGACTGGTAATTTTTCCACCTGAACATGGGAAATGCGAAAGGGGATTGTTAGCCTATGTCGTTCCTTGTTAGTAAACAGGGAACGACATACAACGTACTTATATAATAAGTCAATTATATAAAGCCACAAGTGATCCTCGGCACAGAAAACGGGATGAGGCTGGAATTGTTACTCAAAGCATACATGAAGAAAACGAGGCGAGGATAAATGGGCAACCTTGTTACGGCAATGCTAAACAAGGCTGTAATTGCTTACCTTGCACTAATCATCCGGGAATTAGGCGAGTATAATATTGTTGCTCTTTACGAAGCATATTAATTGTTGTAAATGCACAATTTTGTTCGTACATAAAGCCTAACAAACGAGAAGTGGTATTAACAAGGTGGGGGCCCCACATCGCGCATAGCAACAAACGCGGGGCCCTACATCGAGCATAGCAACAAACGCGGGGCCCTACATCGAGCATAGCAACAAACGCGGGGCCCTACATCGAACATAGCAACAAACGCGGGGCCCTACATCGAGCATAGCAACAAACGCGGGGCCCTACATCGAACATAGCAACAAACGCGGGGCCCTACATCGAGCATAGCAACAAACGCGGGGCCCTACATCGAGCATAGCAACAAACGCGGGGCCCTACATCGCGCATAGCAACAAACGCGGGCCCTACATCGCGCATAGCAACAAACGCGGGGCCCTACATCGCGCATAGCAACAAACGCGGGGCCCCACATCGAGCATAGCAACAAACGCAGGGCCCCACATCGAGCATAGCAACGCGGGGCCCCACATCGAGCATAGGAACAAAACGCAGGGCCCCACATCCAGCATAACAACAAAACACGAGGCCCCACATCGAGCATAGCAACAAAACGCGACGGCAATTAAAGGGGCCCGGGAAGGAGCATAATAATGAAGGGCGGTCCATGGGGGGCGGTAGAGAGCATAGTGACAACAGCGGTGACACGGAAAGGGTGTGTCGGCTCCCTCTGTAACCGCTCTGACACATTCACACACAAACACCCCCCTTCCCTTCTACCTACCTCTACCTACCTTCGTCTATCTACCTACCTACTTACCTTAAGACATGTTGAGCCATACAGCACCCGTATTTATCTCGTCCATAATGAGAACGGGAACCGTACGCCAGAGGAAGGAAAACCATATGGCCGGAAGATTTCCTTACAAGGGGGGACTTTTATGAGTCATTCCCGCGTCCGGATTGGTTGGAAATAAGATTACAGGACACCCCCGCGCCACCAAGGAATCCCATTTCCTTTCATAATAAACCACAACATAGAAAATGGAGAACACGTACACGCCAACCCCCCTAACTTATTTGCATCTCTGATTTTTCATTGAGTTTCTTTATAGTGGAGTGTTGACTGATAAAATTGGCAGCGAGTGGCGGGCGTCTTAAGGGAGGGGAGCTAGCGATGGGTTTGATATAGTTGGATTAAGAGATTGTTTTTTTGTGAACGCCTGGCTTTTATTATTGTATTCCCCCCCCCCCCACACACACACACCCTTCTCCCCTCCTATGGCTTGTATCTAGTCGCGTGGTTTGGGGGAGCTGGGGGGAGGGGTTTATTAGGAATTAGTTGGGGGTCTAATGGGCACTTGGTGTAGTTGGTGGGCGTCATTACTCCAGCTTATACGAGATGTGAATAGTATTTATCCCTGGAGCGTCGTCGCTGGCCTCTTGTGTTGTCGTTTGGCGGGCTGGTGCAGGCTGTTGGACATGTTGCACCAGTCCTTGCAACCCTCCCCCCCCCTCGCTCACACACGCCCCTCTCTCACCACCTTGGGGGGGAGGGGGAGATATATCTTATCAGAGATGTACACAACAGCCTGGTGGACCAAACTCTCACAAGTCAAGCCTGGCCTCGGGCCGCTCCAAGCAACAGCCTGGTGGACCAAACTCTCACAAGTCAAGCCTGGCCTCGGGCCGCTCCAAGCAACAGCCTGGTGGACCAAACTCTCACAAGTCAAGCCTGGCCTCGGGCCGCTCCAAGCAACAGCCTGGTGGACCAAACTCTCACAAGTCAAGCCTGGCCTCGGGCCGCTCCAAGCAACAGCCTGGTGGACCAAACTCTCACAAGTCAAGCCTGGCCTCTGGCCGCTCCAAGCAACAGCCTGGTGGACCAAACTCTCACAAGTCAAGCCTGGCCTCGGGCCGCTCCAAGCAACAGCCTGGTGGACCAAACTCTCACAAGTCAAGCCTGGCCTCGGGCCGGGCTTGGGGAGTAGAAGAACTCCCAGAACCCCATCAACCAGGTACAATCCAGGTACTCCCCTATTGACCTCTTATTTTTGTCGTAGCGAGAAGATAGAGGGAGGAAATTCTCAGGAGAAAGCGCCAAGCCATTCCGACTAAATAGCACTGGAAAGGTGTCAGGATAAGGATTTGGGATGGGACGGTGGGAAAGAATGGTGCCCCAACCACTTGTAGACGGTCGGGGATTGAACGCAGACCTGCATGAAGCGAGACCATCGCTCTACCGTCCAGTGAAAGTGGTTGGACAGTGAGAATTGGGACTGATGTATACATCCAGTGAGCCAGGCCGCCGTGTATGATACACCTGTCGCCGTGGAAAATATTGTATTTTCGTGTGCTTCACGAGTGAGACTTGTGTACAGCTGAATGGTAGTCAAGATGTGTTTCTGCTTCTTCAAGTGTCTTACGTTGCGCAGTGGCTGAGCCAAGTTAAGAACAACGAAGACAAGTGAGCTAGACTGAAAGCATGTGGGAACAGTTGAAAACCTGCGATAACAGGTGGAAACTGTTGAAAACCTGCGATAACAGGTGGAAACTGTTGAAAACCTGCGATAACAGGTGGAAACTGTTGAAAACCTGCGATAACAGGTGGAAACTGTTGAAAACCTGCGATAACAGGTGGAAACTGTTGAAAACCTGCGATAACAGGTGGAAACTGTTGAAAACCTGCGATAACAGGTGGAAACTGTTGAAAACCTGCGATAACAGGTGGAAACTGTTGAAAACCTGCGATAACAGGTGGAAACTGTTGAAACCTGCGATAACAGGTGGAAACTGTTGAAAACCTGCGATAACAGGTGGAAACTGTTGAAAACCTGCGATAACAGGTGGAAACTGTTGAAAACCTGCGATAACAAGTGGAAACTGTTGAAAACCTGCGATAACAGGTGGAAACTGTTGAAAATAGGTGGAAAATAGCAGTAAAGAGATGCCGACAACTGGCAACAGTCAGAATATTACACTGTCATAATTTATGCACGCACGTCCGTTCATTTAGGCCAGAGCTCGTGGCGTTCACTACAGCTGCACTACAGCTGCACTACAACTGCACTACAACTGCACTACAGCTGCACTACAACTGCACTACAGCTGCACTACAACTGCACTACAACTGCACTACAGCTGCACTACAGCTGCACTACAACTGCACTACAGCTGCACTACAGCTGCACTACAACTGCACTACAACTGCACTACAGCTGCACTATAGCTGCACTACAACTGCACTACAACTGCACTACAACTGCACTACAGCTGCACTATAGCTGCACTACAACTGCACTACAACTGCACTACAGCTGCACTACAACTGCACTACAGCTGCACTACAGCTGCACTACAACTGCACTACAGCTGCACTACAGCTGCACTACAGCTGCACTACAACTGCACTACAGCTGCACTACAACTGCACTACAACTGCACTACAGCTGCACTACAACTGCACTACAGCTGCACTACAACTGCACTACAGCTGCACTACAGCTGCACTACAGCTGCACTACAACTGCACTACAACTGCTGCTACAGCTGCACTACAACTGCACTACAACTGCACTACAGCTGCACTACCAGCTGCACTACAACTGCACTACAACTGCACTACAGCTGCACTACAACTGCACTACAGCTGCACTACAGCTGCACTACAGCTGCACTACAGCTGCACTACAACTGCACTACAGCTGCACTACAGCTGCACTACAGCTGCACTACAACTGCACTACAACTGCACTACAGCTGCACTACAACTGCACTACAACTGCACTACAGCTGCACTACAACTGCACTACAGCTGCACTACAGCTGCACTACAACTGCACTACAGCTGCACTACAACTGCACTACAGCTGCACTACAACTGCACTACAACTGCACTACAGCTGCACTATAGCTGCACTACAGCTGCACTACAGCTGCACTACAACTGCACTACAACTGCACTACAGCTGCACTATAGCTGCACTACAGCTGCACTACAACTGCACTACAACTGCACTACAGCTGCACTACAGCTGCACTACAACTGCACTACAGCTGCACTACAACTGCACTACAACTGCACTACAACTGCACTACAGCTGCACTACAGCTGCACTACAGCTGCACTACAGCTGCACTACAACTGCACTACAGCTGCACTACAACTGCACTACAACTGCACTACAACTGCACTACAACTGCACTACAGCTGCACTACAGCTGCACTACAGCTGCACTACAACTGCACTACAGCTGCACTACAGCTGCACTATAGCTGCACTACAGCTGCACTACAACTGCACTACAACTGCACTACAACTGCACTACAACTGCACTACAGCTGCACTACAGCTGCACTACAACTGCACTACAACTGCACTACAGCTGCACTACAACTGCACTACAACTGCACTACAGCTGCACAACAACTGCACTACAACTGCACTACAACTGCACTACAGCTGCACTACAACTGCACTACAGCTGCACTACAGCTGCACTACAGCTGCACTACAACTGCACTACAGCTGCACTACAGCTGCACTATAGCTGCACTACAGCTGCACTACAGCTGCACTACAACTGCACTACAGCTGCACTACAATTGCACTACAGCTGCACCACAGCTGCACTACAACTGCACTACAGCTGCACTACAACTGTACTACAACTGTACTACAACTGCACTACAGCTGCACTATAGCTGCACTACAGCTGCACTACAGCTGCACTACAACTGCACTACAACTGCACTACAGCTGCACTACAGCTGCACTACAGCTGCACTACAACTGCACTACAGCTGCACTACAGCTGCACTACAGCTGCACTACAGCTGCACTACAACTGCACTATAGCCGCTCTACAACTGCACTACAGCTGCACTACAACTGCACTACAACTGCACTACAACTGCACTATAGCCGCTCTACAACTGCACTACAGCTGCACTACAGCTGCACTACAGCGCAATTTTCCAAGTGTAGACACTTTTTTCTCTCTGTCGCTTCAAATAAGTTTATTGAGACAATAAGATACATCTCAAAATAATAATCTCTCGCGCCAGTGCTAAAGAGACTGAATTAAAGATTTTAATCGGTCCCAATAACTCAAATGTGTTTTTAAAGTAAATTGTGTTCTAAAGAATGTCTATATAAGGGTCTCTCTTGTCTGTCACTATCCAAGATTGGCGGCCAGAAACTTGGGGTTAGCCTCACTAAACTTTGCACGGTGAATGCTGGTGGGTAGTGGACTATCATGGGCGGGTCGGGGTCAAGACACCATGGTATCCTGGTACCGGATCGACCCGGGCACCACCGGGTACCCCATCCAGTATTGTATAATGTTGTATTGCGAAGTATACCTGCCATAGGTGTATGAGGTAAAGCTTCCTTTGACGAACTGCGATAGAGCAGTGTATAGTTGTGGATGTATAGCCACGTTACAGATGTTACGTTATACATTAATACATAATGTATAGTTAGGTTACAGATGTGTGTGAAGATTACAACACACACGTGCCAAAACTGGCATTGTTGTTGCCACATGTGTGGGGTATATATATGAGTGGCGAGGCCTGTGATTGGTCCACAGGGGGAGGCTGTTGTTAAAACTTGTGATTGGTCCGTTCGAGGACCACTAGCAAGCGTTTAAGACGTGTGATTGGTTGTTAGCAAGCTGCGAGGAACTAGCACTCTGGTTTGTGATTGGCTGTTACACCACAAGGGCGAAGGCGCGTAATTGGTGATCAGACGAAGAAAGCCGGCGTCAAGGTCTGTGATTGGTCGTCAGAGTCTGTGATTGGTCGTCAGGTCCTGGTGGGGGCAAGTGTTTGGGTCGTTAGAGTAAGGTGATGAGGTGAATGACACCATCCGACGATTACCTTACGACTTTTGCGGTAGTTTGGCCCTTAATTAGCAGGTGATTAGGGTGCGGGGCTGTTGGAGTTAACGAGCCTCGTGACGGGGCAGACTTGGCGCCAAGTTTACACGGCTCTCTCATTAAGTTCTTTATGGGTTACGAAAGTGTTTGTTATAGGTGGAGATGAGTGTGTGTGGGGGGGGGGGGGTTGTGTGTGGGGTGGGAGGGGGGTTGTTGTGTGGGGTG